GAAGATATGCAATTATTAAAACAACCTTAATTTTGGCTCTAAAAATTGGTTAAGAGACTTAACAACTTTAATAAGATAATTGAATAAACATAAAAATTAGTGGAAGAAAAATAAGAGTTAGTGGAACTAATATAATAAAATAAAATAAAAATGAAAATATGTAATTATTAAAACAATCTTAAATTTATCTCCAAAAATTGCTTAAGAGACTTAACAACTTTAATATATAAGATAATTGAATAAACATAAAAGTTAGTGGGAAAAAATTAACTTATAAAATAAAATAAAATAAAAATATGCAAATACTAAAACAAAATTAATTTTGACTCCAGAAATTACTTAAAAGATTTAACAACTTTAATATATAAGATAATTGAATAAACATATAAAAGTTAGTGAGAGAAAATTAACTAATAAAATAAAATAAAATAAAAATATGTAATTACTAAAACAACATTAATTTTGGCTCCAAAAATTACTTAAGACATTTAACAACTTTAATATATATAAGATAATTGAATAAACATAAAAGTTAATGAAAGAAAATTAAGAGTTAGTGGAACTAATAAAATAAAATGAAAATATACAATTACTAAAACAATCTTAATTTTGACTCCAAAAATTATTTAAGAGATTTAAAAATTTTAATATATAAGATAATTGAATAAATATAAAAGTTTGTGGGAGAAAATTAAGAGTTAGTGGAACTAATAAAATAAAATAAAATAAAATGAAAATATACAATTACTAAAATAACCGTAATTTTGACTCCAAAAATTGCTTAAGAGATTTAACTACTTTAATATATTAGATAATTGAGTAAACATAAAAGTTAGTGGGATAAAATTAAGAATTAATGGAACTAATAAAATAAAATAAAATAAATGAAAATCTACAATTACTAAAACAGCCTTAATTTTGACTCCAAAAGTTACTTAAGAGACTTAATAACTTTAATATATAAGATAATTGAATAAACATAAAATTTAATGAGAGAAATTAACTAATAAAATAAAATAAAATGAAAATATACAATTATTAAAACAACCTTAATTTTAGTTTCAAAAGTTGTTTAAGAGAATTAATAACTTTAATATATAAAATATGTTTAAATTAAATTAGATAGAAGAACATTTAGTGTATGTGTGGAATTAAATTAGATAGAAGAAGATTTGGTAGATATAATCAAAGAAGATGTGTAAAATTTGTTAACAAGAATTGTGAGAATTTTTAGCTGAATATAAACTCTCTTTCGTCACTAAAACATAATCAATCCTATATATTTAATAAACTACAAATATAAGAAAATTGACTATATTCTACCTAAACTTTGACACGTGGCTACATGAGGAATAAGCGAATCTTTTATTCCCAAAAGCTTCATTCTTCATTCTAATTTGTCCATAAAGCACGTTGATTACAAAATAACACGCTAATCCTATATATTTTTCACTATAATGTTTGTGTAAATTTGTAGAAACATAAGTCTCACCATTTTAATTTCTCCGATCATTCGCTTGCTTGAATGCACTCTCTTTTATTTTTAGAGTTTAGCTCTAGGACACTCCGAAGTTGAAGGAATTTCTCGGCTTACAACTATGGTTCTTGGTACAGATGAGTCAAAAAGTAAGTTGGTAAAACAACTCTATAAGTTAGTGGATCTGCATAAGGTTCAATATCTCTACCAAAATAAATGCATCATGCCCAAGAAATAAACAGTTTGCTTTTTAGTTTTTATGCTTTCTAATATTATTGATTGCAGAGTTCTCTAGCATTTTTAGTGCCGATATCCACCATGGTCATGGCTGAGTGAGCATTTGTTGAACAACCTAATGGAAATTAGAACTGATGCACTGAAGCTGCTAGCAATTTTGAGACGACATGTTCCTCGTGTTGCTGCAACCGTAGGAGCATGGCTTAACATATTTCATGTGTTTATCTTACAGGACTTTGGACTTTTGTTAATTAAGTTCGGTTTCTCTCGCTTGGTTCTCGAGGTGATTGTTTCTTCTCTCTCGCGTACATCCACATTAATGATTCATATCCAAGTTAGAGAAGTTTGGTGAGAGACCACACTACCATGTGGACTTGGAAAATGGGCTAGCTCGAAAAAGCATAGGGAGGTATTTAATAAGACTTTTTAGCTCAGCTTGGATCAATGCAGTTGTATGATGACCAAAATTGGAGGAAGAAGAAAATTTAAAAGCATGAATTGATTGTTGTTGATTATCCTGGATTTGGAAGGGAAAAAGGCTATAGCAGCCAAACAAGTTGCGGCTAGAAGGCCGACGTGGCTTTCTTCTCTTGCTGGTGAGGCTATCAAAGGCTGGATTCCATGAAATGCAACTACTTTACAGAGAAAAACATGTGGTCACATTATGTCTCTAAACCTAACGTGTGTTTTTTGGAATGCAGTTCTGTAATATTTGTACTCCGTTAATCCGAAAAATTTATCCATTATAATGTATTTTCTGACAGTAGTTGAGATGGAGAATGTATAGTAAAAATAATGATAATCTCTTTGTCCTTATAGGAGTCAAGTATCCCAGATATATTCACTAAAAATAGTTGGGTTTCACCAAATGCTGTGAAGTCGCAGTAGTGGGAAATCTTGGTCATAAGGTGGTTTGTTAAATATGAATAAGGATTTTGTGTTGGTATCATCTCCTGAAATTGCAATCAGATCAATCTTAACAAAGGTGATGCTCCTATTCTTCTCATCGGATACTCCTAAGTTTATAATTGACCTTATCCTTTTATTGATTTTGCCAATTTTCTATGTGTTGTTTAATTGCATACATGAAGCAAAATTTGTCATACAAGATAACTTTATTAGCTGCTGTTGAGAGGTATCAACTCGTAATGTTGATGATGCATAATTGCAGCCTCGAAAAGCAAACTTCTTATTGAGAAGCTCAGTCCTAAAGTAATTGTTTCATCTCTTTGGAAATGAGAGGACTTATTTGTTCAGAAGCTTCTTCAGTGCATAAACACTTATGTGGAAGAACACATCTTGAATGGTCTCAAATCATAAAGTCATGCTCACAATCATTCAGGTTTGAAAGATATTTAGAAAGAGCTACGAAAATCTACATTACGGTAATTGGTTTTTGCTTCTAGCTTGTCTGTATGTATTTGAACCCGGTGGAACTTGAAATCTTTAAAGTTTATTTTCCGCCCCTTTGTTGATAGGTTGAGGGTAGCCACAAGAAGGTGGTTGCTGGTTTTGATTCTAAAAGGGAATTTGTTAACTTGATTTCCACAAGATAAAATTTTTGGACAGTAAGTTACAGTGAATGTTGTTGTTGTTGTTGTAATAACGAAGTAAATCATGAACAACAAGAATCCCATAACATTATGATTAATGTTCATCATTATCTTGATTCTTGAGCAATAATAGTATTATTTTGTTTCTATGAATTTATCAAACTCACTTTGACTATAGCTTCTTAATGAATCTTAATATAGAAAAGGAAGGAGTAGAAGTCAACAACACAGATCTTATAGGTAGCTTGTGATTGTCATTACTCTTTCACAAAGATCTTGAACGGGTATGAATTGACACTAATATGTGTTTCGGCTATGTCATCAAGTGCATACAACATTTTTCAGACGAGACTGTCGCTATCAAGATTCTAAAATTCTACACACTAATATCAATCCTTTTAATGTTCTCATTGAATACCACCTAGATGAAACTCCTATAGTCAAGCTATGTGGTATTCGTGCACCCAAAACTTCTGTTCTTGTATGATACTATATATACTTTCTCTATTTTACATTGTTAAAAACAACCCAAGATAGTTTAAACCATTGAAACTAATGCTTTTGTAATTTTATTTTTGATTTTCAGAAGGCTTATCCTAGCTATAAAGCACCTGAACTTTCGAAGGGCTTAACCAATTACTCAACTGCAGTTGATATCTTGTCTATGGGATGCATATTTGCTAACATCATTAAGCGTCGACCTCTCTTCAATGATATAGACAAGCATAGGGTATTGGCTGAGATATTTTGGTAATTTCATCAAAACACAATAACTATTTCCATGATATCTCTGCATGTATTAAACAAACAAAATTCATTAATTGGATATTTTCTATGTAAAGTTTGTTTGGTACGCCAATTGAAGAAACTTGGTTGTGTGTGTCTTCTATATGCAATTTTATTCAAGAATTTAACCCTCCCATACAGCCAAAGGTATCCATTAATGTTTTGATTTTTATTCCATTTCATTTAGAAATTCAGGCTATCCAATAAGCAATGTATGGAAACTAATTGATTTTGTAGGACCTAGCTGAAGAGTTCCCAATGCTTGGACCTGCTGGTCTTCATCTTCTTTTGGTAACTTAACTGCCTCCTACACTAGACTTTCTCTCATTTGAGTCATTCTTGTACGTTATTCTTCCTCGACATATTGTTGCTAGCTGATATGGTTTCATTCCTTATCAGGTGTGGTGACTGGAATACTGGTGGTGGTTGTCATTCAAACCGACATGCATTTCAGTACCGTCGCTAATGTCTTGCCACAACACACATATAAATCAAAAGTGTTGAATTTTAACTTGCTTAATGCCACACAAATGTCCACACGCAGAAAAGACGACCATGCATCTATTTACTATATCGGGCCAAAGTATACAACCTCTATACAGCGGCAAGACTGTAGTCATTGGTGCCTCCATGGTGTTCCCAATTCATGGAACGAGATTCTTTTTTCTCTATTTCTCAAGAAGACTTTTTCGGATCACAATTCAACCAAACTTTCTCAAGTTTTACTATAAATAGCTTATACAGTTTACGTGGAATCGCACATATACAAATCTTCGTCAACTCTACTCAATCATTGGCGTATTGCATGAAGCTGGAAGCTAAATATCCCACATTATTTGCACTTCTGGATTATTTTAGTTTTTGTCTGAAATAGATGCATGGTCTAGGCTAACAATGAAATTCGATTGAGAATTGTGATTTTGCATTTGTTTAGGGAGTAGATCCTTATGCACCTGAAGAAGACGGAGACAATGACGTTGAAGATGGTGATGGAGATCAAGACGAGACTGAACTCCTGTGAGAACCGATATTCAAAAGAAGAGAAAAACACCCCTGGAAATAGTATATAATGTTGAGATAGCCTTAGCAGTAGGATTGATGAGAAAAATTATGGTGATGTGTTGTGCTACTGTCTAGGCGTTGGTGAACGATTTTCCGGGTAATTATAGAGATGTTCTGACCTGTCGTGCATTTTTCTGCAATTTCAATTTAGTGCCGGCGTGTGTTGGATTGGATCAAGGATTTGTTGTTGCAGTAGGATTTTTATTCCTTCTGCTGAGTGTTATATGTTGCTCTCTCGGTTGTTTAGGAATTGCTTTCGTCGAGTAAGACTCTTTGTTGGACCAGTTCAGTTTTCAATTCTGCAGCAGATGAGGCGGAGGACAGTTTTCAGACTGAGTTTTTTGATTGAACAAGATTTATAGTATGATCACATATGTTGGTTTCTGCGGTGTATTTATCAGATAAAGCTCAAAAATTATATTGCCGCTGAAGCTTGGTTTCTTCTCTAAATATTGATGGCACTATTATTTCAGATCAGGATCAATATTGCTGGCCACATGGTCACGTAATACAAAGTTTTATTTAAAATTATTACTGTTTTGCAGGAGGATAACGAGAGGGTGGTCGGACGAAAGCTGTTATACGAGAAAATTCTGTGTAAGTTAACAACCATATTCATTTTCAACATGATAGACAACTATAGCGACAAACATTTTGTATTGTGTTTCGTGGGTCATAACTAACACATGTTACTGATTCAGATGGTGCTTAAAGAAAATTGTTCACAACAGGATATGCTGAAGGCATTGTTTCAGGTCAACTATCGTTATTGGCTAGAGAAGAATGCATGAATTAAAGGAAGATGATCCCTTTATGACTGCAAACCTGGCGGAAGGCTGCAGATATCTCTAGAATATGCAGAAAGGGAATTCGATCATGTTAGAAATGATGGAGAGTCAGTTGGTTGGATCACATACGGGCTTAATGCAAGGCCTCTGCCTAATAGAATTCGACCGAGCAACACAGAGTGAGTTACTGATATTGTGAATGACCGGTGGTTTTTCGTACCTTACCACTTGCTGCATTGTTTTCCACGAGGATTTAAGTTGTACTCAAAATGTATAGGTTCTAGAGATCTCCGACGAGCACATTGATTGATACTTTCCCATTGTTATTGACAAAAGCCCATTCCATGGTGCAATGGCATGTACACAACTACAAATTGTTGAAGCTAAAACCATAAGCCAAATTTCCAATTCACAGGCCTTTTGTCAATGTAAGAAAAATGACTGATCCAAAAATAATTATGAAAAGAATACAAGATAGATTTTACGTCTAAGAGATTGTATCCAACACACAGTTTGAAGTAGTTGTTTAGAGTTTCAGATGTACGGTGAACCGTTAAACTTTATTTGCTGCAGAACTAAATTTGTATAGTTTGCACAAAATTGATGTTATTTGACCTATATACACATTGTCTTTGTGCCACAAATGATACACATGCTTTCGTGTCATTTTACTAAAAATAAAAAAAAGATTAGCACCTTGCAAAAAATAAATATATGAAAAATGTTAAAGCAAAAACTGACATCTTATTAAGGCTAATAGTAGGCAAATGTGCATTTGTATGTTTTTGCTTAGTTAAGTCAATTCAGGTGATAACTGTTCATAGACACCAAATGTAGGAGTGCGGATTTAAACTTGCGACATCTCGTTTTAATGTCAGGAGCGCAGGTTCGAACTCGCGACATTATCAATTTATAGTGAAATATTCTAACTGTCAATTTGTAAGCTAACTGATTTTTGACAATTTATATTTGTTAATACCTAAAGTTTTGATTAGTGCAGTTTTGATTAGTGCAGTTTCGTAATCACATTTTAAAGTTTTTTGAAATTGCTTGATTCACAAGTGCTCATTTCAAGCAAAGTATGCTCAATACCACAAACTTTAAACCTTATTGTTAGACTCTTGAAACTTTAAATTAAATGAAATGAGATAAATGAATTTTTTTGTTTAATCTTAAAATTTTAAATTAAATGAAATGAGATAAATGAATTTTTTTGTTTAATCTTGAAATTTTAAATTAAATGAAATGACTCGGGCTACAATTCTGTCTAACTTATGATATTAACGGGAATATGAAGTTATTGATCAAAATATTAAATATTAACGGAAACATGAAGTTACTGATCAAAATATTGAATATTAACGAGAATCTGAAGTTACCGATCAAACTATTGAATATTATCGAGAACATAAAGTTACTGATGAAAATATTGAATATTAACGAGAACATGAAGTTACTGATAAAAATATTGAATATTAACGAGAATATGAAGTTGCTGATAAAAATATTGATTGATTAAAATATTGAATATTAACGGGAACATAAAGTTAATGATCAAAACATTGAATATTAACTAGAATATGAAGTTACTTATCAAAATATTAAATATTAACAGGAACATGAAGTTACTTATCAAAATATTAAATATTAACAGGAACATGAAGTTACTAATCAAAATATTGAATATTAACGAAAATATTAAGTTATTGATCAAAATATTGAACATTAACGGAAATATGAAATTACTGATCAAATTATTGAATATTAACGGAAACATGAAATTACTGATCAAAATATATTGAATATTAATAGAACAACTTTACTATTGTTTTAAATATTTTTTTACAACAATTCCAAAACAAAAATAATATTTATATAAACATATATATTATTCATTCAAATATTTTATATATTGCAAGAATTATAGGCACCGATTTATTATTATTTTTTAAAATTATTTTATTTTTATTATATTTTAAAAATAAATGCCCGTGTCATATTAATATATGTGCGAACGCACGAATATCCCACTAGTTATATAAAAAAACAACTAACTCTAAACTCAATGTTTTAAAATATTAATGAAATGAATCTTTATGTCTTTACAAATAAATAGAGATATTAATCCATATTATTCAAAATTTAAGCAATCAAATTTTCATATTATTTATTTTGTGACAATATTTATTCAAAATGTTATTAAATTATATGCAAAGGGAAACAGGCCTCTAATAAATATTATATTATAAACAAATCAATAGTAAATCATTATCTGTTTTATTTATCAAAACAAATTTACCTAGAAAATCTATGTGAATCATAAATGAAAGATATGGTTCAAATTTTAAAAAGCTATTCATGTGAAAAGATTAGAATTTATACATTTTTTTATCATATAAATAACTAAATCATATAAATAATTAAATCATCCAAATAAAATTTAAGTTTAAATTAAATCTTCATCACACTTAAAAATTAATATAAATTAATATGTTTTTAATCATTAGCTTTATTACCAAAAATATAATGGTAATAGTCGTAATCCTTTTAATAACAAATCATTCTTGAAGAACAATATTTAAATTATACTAGTATATGTTAAATTAAATTAGATAGAAGAATATTTAGTAGATATAATCAAAGTAGATATATAAAATTTGTTAGATAAAAAAATTGGGCGTGGAACTTGTACATAACAAACAAAATATAAATTATCATTCTTATAATTAAAAATAACATAACATTTGTTTTTAAAAGGTGATGCTAAAATAAAATTATAAACTTCATAAAATTAAAAATTAATTTAAAAATAGATAAAATATTAAATAGAAAGATGAAAGTAAATATAAGAAGTTTGTTGCGATTTTTTAGAAGATAAAAATAAAATCAGTACTGTTTTCATATTATATTTAAACTAATTGATTTGATTTACTCCATGATTTAAGTCATATCATATCTTGAGTTATATCTCTATATCTATATAAATCAAGATTATTTTAGTTTGAAGTTGTATAATTTCATATACAAGGAATTTTCTTCTCTTTTTAGATTCAACTTGCAATGTCTAACTGTTTCTTGAACAATGTGTTTGAAAATTCAAGAGAACTCTTGCCCTCGCCTTATGATGAACTTGGTATGTATAGTGTTTAGTCACTTTGGTTTTCTATTGTTTAATTAATTATTGTGATTTGTTTAATAAAATTATTTATACTTTCACGTAGATCATCTTCAACCTTCAATTATCCCCGCTCATATCCAAATTCAACAAGAATCAAAATCTTCAAAAGAGTGTTCGAGTTTTATCTATGGTATTTGTTTTCCTGATGAGGACAAATTAATTGAAGATGATTATATTTTTGATTATGATGATTCTTTTATGGATTATATTATGGCGGAGCTGATGAAACATGGAAGTCAAGTTGGTTCTAAAAATATTCTTGAGATTCCTTTGTTCAAGGAGAAACCAAGCCTAATACAAAGTTATTTGGAATCTTAAGATCCAAACTATGATGTGGTATTTTTGGTGCTTTCAAATATAAACATATAATTCTGTCAACAGTTTTAGTATTTAATTATTTATATTGTAGAACCAAAATCTAAGTGCTATAAATTATTGTTTTGTTAGGTAATTGATTCAATTAGTAGTAGATAATAATTTACAGTTTTCACTTCTAAATTCTTTTATTGGACTATTTTATTTCTAAAGTAAAGAGGTATTAAATTGATATTTCTGTCAATAAATTAGATAATCTATTTTTATGGTTTGTAAATTTAAATATACATACACTAGTGTATATGTCAACAAATCTAAATACATGTTTTTTGCAAATTTAACTTCATAATATTTTTCCTTAAATAGTTTCCACCAACGTCTACTTTTCCACGTAAAGTTTTGTTTGAAACATTGAAAAGTTATATTTCATGAAGAAAGAGTGTTATAAAAAAAGTGTGCTGCAATATTATATGATAAAGAGTGTGTTCATATCATTAATCATAGTTGATAAAATAGTTTCCACCAAATGTTCTATGTTGTATTTAGAAATTAGATATGAATCATCACAAATATTGTAACCGATGATCATTTAGTATTATTTAACTCACCTCAATCACTTATAGCCACCTGAAGACTATGAGAGTCTTCGTTATAGGATAGGCAATCAAGGTCACAAATGTGGCACGTAGGCGAAGTTGCCACGTCCTGAGAGAACCGTGTGAGTGAGTCATCCACCACAATGTCCTACTAAACGGGGTTGCATTGGTTACCCTTAAAGAAATAGTTTAAATACTCGATGGCTTTAAAATATTGGAATTTTCCGTTCAATAGCTTCACACCTCTCCCTCAGTTCATTTTGTTCTCTTAAAAGTTTGTTAAAATTTAAATATTATTATAAAACGTTTAAACAATAATGTCATAATCATCACGGTTCTTCTTTCAACTGTTGTGACATCTCTAAATTAAGGTATTATCATATTTATGTTGTTTTTTGATTAAAAATTATTTGTATATAACAGTAGTTGAAGAATCAACAGTGGTGATATAATCAAACTTTCATTGGTTCGAATCTCAACCCCATAAAATATTGTATTTCGTTAACGTTAAGGCGCACCTTTTCTTTTTTATTTATTTTAAAACTCACAAATAAAAGGGATATCGCTATGGTGATTTTGATTAACCGTTGTGATATATTTATAATAAATAAATATTTATCAATATGGTTGGAATAGTTAACCGTTGTGAAATAGTTTGCTCATATATAATCGAATTAACTCTCACTTATTAACAGTAGCTTCGTTTACTTCACAATGAAACCCTAACATCTATTTTTTCTCTTCTTCTTCGCCATTAGCCGTGAATCTTGTGCTTCATACGTTAATGTATTCTTCTTCTTCCTTCTTCTTGTTAGCCATTATCTCGTTTGTTGCATATTATTTTGTTGATTGTTCTCATTTTTTCAGATTCGTCTTCACTACCTTAACAAAGACTATGGTACATATTGTTTGTGTAGCTATGAAAAAAATACAAGAAGCATGAAGCTATGATGGAAACTTCATCCACCTTGTACTTCTTATTCATAGCTTCACAAAGAAGATGTTTTTCATACTCTGTTGACAAATAAGCTCGCGGTTTCACATGTTGATAATATTCATGGTGTTTGTAAGACTCATGAAACAACAACAGCGGTAAACTTCATCTAGTTTGAGAAGCTATGAGAAGAAATATAATAAGTATGAAGCTATTGTGTAAACTTCATCCATCTTATATTTCTTTCTCATGACTTCACAA